TTTTACCAGTTTGAGGTCGTGGCAACTAAATGTATGAACAATAGCCCTGAATAGATTATGCCACCAAAGCTTTCTGTGGATGGTAACTAAAGTGATGGAATGTAGTGGGCAAGTAGAAAGAAAAACCTTATGAAAAGCGAGCTCTGTATTTTCATTGGCATGAGACAGCTTCAGTGCCACTTGCTGATAGTTGGGGTGACTTGAAAGAGGAGAACCCTAGTCTAGCTTGTCAGGCTGGTGCTAGAATTTTTTTTCATTCATCTTTCTGCCTGACTTACCAACACAACAAGAAATAGGCCATGCCTTCCCACTACAGTCTTGTGTAGCCCACAGATGACACCAGCTGTAAGCAAGTATTTCTGTATCTAGAATCTAAAGGGACTTTGACCATGGCCCCTAGGCTGAGGAGTGACATATAAAGCTGAGAGTCATAGTGTGACCTGTGTAAGTCTCTGGTAGATCTACATACACCACAACCAAAAGTCTCACACATTGAATATCTCATGCTGAACTCCAACCAGGCTTCTGCAACAAAGGCCGGTAGAGTTCAGACTTTAAAAATCACTTAATGTGGGCTGGAGATGTAGTGTGATTGGGAGAGTGTTTGCCTAGCATAGAGAAAGTCCCAGATTAGATTCTCACCAAGGTACAAATACAGGTGGTAACACACAGCTATAATCCCAGCACCATAGAGGCGGAAGCAGGAGGAAGGGAGATCAGAAATTCCAGGTCAACTTCCTCCACAATGTGAATTCAAGGCCAGGCTGGGCTACATAAACCCTGTCTCATAAAGCCAAAACCATAAATGAATAGTTACTTAAAAGCAAGTAGCTTTTCTACTTTACTTCAAGATTCTGGCTTTTAATCCTCCCTTTAGGAAATCTAAGATGAAATGAGACCTAAGCACAGGTGTCACAGGTATTTCACAAATTAACTTCTTGCTCAAGTCCACTTTTCCCATTTTATTACACCTACTTGGTCCAGGCAGATTAGGAAGAATAGTAATGAAGTCACACACCCTAATCAACACGGGATGAAAATCCAGCCTGGACTTTCTGTGTGCTAGGCAAACACTACAAACCACACTACACCTCCAGCCCAGTTGCTTTTTTTTGAAAGTCCAAATTCTACCAGCATTTGTACCAGAAGCTTAGTTAGAGCATAGCATGATGTATAATGTGAGAACACTTCATCATGATTCTCATAGGTCTACCATAGAACCATGCCATGACTATCAGCTTTGATCACATCTTAAAAATATATTGTTTGATGCCAAGCAGTGGTGGTGCACACCTTTAATCCCAGCATACAGGAGACAGATGCAGGCAGATCTCTGAGTTTGAGACCAGCCTGGTCTACAGAGTGAGTTCCAGGACAGCCAGGGCTACACAGAGAAACCCTATCTCAAAAAAAAAAAAAAACAATGTGTATACAATGTGTATATATATTGTTGGGATTGGTTAGCTACTACGTAATTTCATCTTTGTCTCTTTTCCATGTATTCACTCACTCATTTGCTGATACTAATACAGATTAATATATTTATTTTACAGTTTAACTTCTAATCTAATATGGTTATTTATTTTGTGGCCCAAATAGTATCAGTTTTGGGGAATGGATCCTCTTTCTCTGTCTCTTTTCTTCCAAACCAGATGATTCTCTTAGAACATGTACCTTTCTCTGTATTTCTCCTTCTATATCACACATGCCACATTAATATTTCTAGAATCTTAGTGTTTTGCCACCTTTCTCTGCTTATTTGTTAGGACTTTTATATTTGAACAAGAATGGATTTTTCAAATTTATGCATTTACCCACCCTTCCCACATCAAAAGGCATATTCCTGGTAGTATGTTTTTCTTAATGAAATAATTATGTTCTCAAAGTGGGTCTTTATTAACATGTGCTTCATTCTTGAGCTTACAAATTAGTGAGCAGGCCAGGGATTGCTCTGTGAGTAAAAGTGTTTGTGACAAAAGTCTGACAACCTGAGTGCCACCTTCAAAACCCATGGTTGAAGGAGAGAACCCATTTCTGAAAATTGTTCTCTGAACTCCACACAAATGCCTTGGCATGCACATAGTTCTTTATCTCATAATACTAAACAATATAATTTTTAAAGTGGTATTCTAAATTTAAAATATCCAGATCAGTGGTTCTCAACCTCTAGGTTGGAACCCTTCTGGGGGTCAAACAACCCTTTCACAGGGGTCATATATCAGATATTCTCCATATCAGATATTTACATTACAATTCATAACAGTAGCAAAATTACAGTTATGAAGTAGCAGTAAAAATAATTTTATGGGTGGGAGTCACCACAACCTGAGTTACTGTATTAAAGGGTGGTAGTATTAGGAAGGTTGAGAACCACTGCTCTAGATAGAAAATTCTTCGTTGAAACTATTACATTATGTATGCAAGGTTATGCTGAGAACTCTAAAGATGAACATGACTCTCTTTTCTTACATGTGATGGCTTTTACTCTTTAAAAGCTTTA